GAAAAAACAAAGAAACCGTCCAGATGACCTGACTTGACAATAAGTTTGTGTTGGGTATGACTCTTAGCAACTACCACGCCAAGCTTTAACTCAGCGTCTGTAACATTAACAGAGCTATAGCGGTTTTTGTGTTTGCTAAGCTGGCATTGCTGTAGTGGCCATCTTGAATCGGGGTGACTAAAATTCAATCAGTTGTAGCAGTCGCGCCTTCAGAGGTGGCCATTTATAATTTTTTCTTCTTCTTTTGGCCGCTCCCTTCTTCAGGGGTCGCCACAGGAAACTAATTTGCACGAAGACTTGACTATTGTTTTTAGGCCGGATGCTCTTCCTGACACGACCACAGACACCGAACTACCACAGGCCTCTGTGTGGAGCAGAGAGCTGCTGTCTAGGGCGCCTGGGGGAGCAGATGGTGGGGGTTAAGGGCCTTGCTCAAGAGTGGGGCAAATGAGGGGGGGGGGGGGGGGGGGGGCATTTTTTAATTTTTTTTATTTAAATAAAATTTATATATGTATTGCTAACTCATAATTAATAAAAAAAAACTGGTTTATTTTAATGTTTATGGAGTTCTAAAATAGCTGGAGGAAATAAAAAATACTCAGAATAAAACTGTAGTAGAAAGAACACATATTTGCTAAAATAGGTTTGAATAAGAAGAAATTAGCCCCCCAAATTAGGAAATTAGCTAAAAAATATGAAATTAGCTAAAAGTAGCTGAAAAGGTAGAAAGAAGCATAAACTACCAGAAGGAGGTGAAGAGAGCTGAAATGAGCTGAAAATTTTGGAATTAGCTGAAAAGGCTAAAATTAGCATAAAACAGCTAAATAGTAGCAGAAAGTAGCAGAAAAAAGCTGAAAGGAGCTCAACAAGCTGATAGTGCCATAAAGATGTTAATTAGGTTGAAAGTAGCAAAAATTACCATGAAAAACTTGAATTTATCTGAAAACAGCTGAAAGTAGCTAAAGTATGCCAAGAAGTTAGCTGAAAAGGTAGAATACCAGTAAGTTAAATTAGTAGAAGAAAGCAGAAAGAACATGTTTGCCCAATTCGGCTGAAAGACGCAGAAAGAAGTGGAAATTATCTGAAAAAAGCTGAAAAGTAGCTAAGAAGGCAGAAAGAAGCTTAAATTACCAGAATAAAGTGGGGAGAGCATGTCTTTGCTGAATTAGGCTGAAAAAAGTTAAGTGCAAAAAATATGGAATTAGCTGAAAAAGCTAAAATTAGCATAAAACAGCTAAATAGTAGCAGAAAGTAGCAGTAAAAAGCTGAAAGGAGCTTAACAAGCCGATAGTGCCATAAAGATGTTAATTAGGTTGAAAGTAGCAAAAATTACCATGAAAAACTTGAATTTATCTGAAAACAGCTGAAAGTAGCTCAAATATGCCAAGAAGTTAGCTGAAAAGGTAGAATACCAGTAAGTTAAATTAGTAGAAGAAAGCAGAAAGAACACGTTTGCCCAATTTGGCTGAAAGACGCAGAAATGAGCAGAAAGAAGTGGAAATTATCTGAAAAAAGCTGAAAAGTAGCTAAGAATGCAGAAAGAAGCTTAAATTACCAGAAGAAAGTGGGGAGAGCATTTCTTTGCTGAATTAGGCTGAAAAAAGTTAAGTGCAAAAAATGTGGAATTAGCTGAAAAAGCTAAAATTAGCATAAAACAGCTAATAGTAGCTGAAATAGTAGAAAAGGCTGAAACTTGCAGAAAGAAGCTGAAAGAAGCATTAAAAGCTGAATTTAGTAGGCTGAAATTTGCAGAAATTACCACAAAAACTTGAATTTATCTGAAAATGGCTGAAATTAGCTAAGAAATGCTAAAAAAGTTACCTGAAAAAGTAAAACAAGCTGAAATTAGCAGAAGAAATCAGAAAGAACATGTTTGCCCAGTTAGGCTGAAAGAAGCAGAAATGAACACAAAGAAGTGAAAATTATCTGGGGAAAAAAGCTGAAATTTGCACTAACAAAAACAGCTGAAAAGTAGCTAAAAAAGCAGAAGGAATCTTAAATTACTGCAAGGAAGTGGAGAGAGCACATTTATGCTGAATTAGTCTGAAAAAAGTTTAAATGGATGCAAAAAATGTGGATTTAGCTGAAAATGCTGAAATTAGCATAAAACCAGCTAAACAGTAGCTGAAATAGCAAAAAATGTTAAAACTTGCAGAAACAGATTAAAGGAACATAGCAAGCTGAAATTAGTAGACATAAGTTAATTAGGCTGAAAGTGGCAGAAATTACCTTAAAAAATTGAATTTATCTGAAAACCGCTGAAATTAGCTAAATAGCTGAAAAGGTAGAAAAAGCTTAAATTAGCTGAAGGAAGTGGAGAGAGCACATTTTTGCTGAAATGGACTGAAAAAAGTTTAAATGAATGGGGAAAAAATGTGAAATTCGCTGAAAATGCTGAAATTAGCATAAAACAGCTAAATAGTAGCTGAAATAGCAGAACATGCTGAAACTTGCAGAAATAAACTGAAAGTATGCAGAAAGACATTAGAAAAAGCTCAAAATCTTCTAGTTAGCAGAAAGAATCTGAAAGGAGCACAAAACAACTGAAGAGCTAAAATTAGCTGAAAGTAGCTGATTTATAAAACAAATTGCACAAGGAAGCTGAAAGAAGTTGAAGCAGAACAAAATGTGAAAGGAGCAGTTTTCACTGAAACAACCGGACCACAGATTTGAGATGATGGTAGTTTTAAAATGAGAAATTATCAGCAAAAGTACAGTTTATTATTTCTGCATTGTCAGCAAATCTTCATTCATTTCCTGCTTTTACCTTTCTCTTTTCTCTTCCTCCATCAAGCTACAGTTGATGGTCATTCTGAGTCATTCAGCGATTATTTCCAGATTTTTCTTCACTTGAAGCTACTTCTTAATTTATTCTTCTCTGCTGCGTAGTGCGATACGAGCTTCTTGTTGGTGTCGTTTCTAAAGTGTTGTTATATTGGTCTGATGTCCTCCAGGTGGCCGTCCCCGACATCACAGAAGCCACAAAAGGAGCCAAGATTCTGGTGTTTGTGATCCCGCACCAGTTCATCCACAGAATCTGCGAGCAGATAAAGCCTCACCTGACCGAGGGAACCATCGGGATCTCTCTCATCAAAGTAAGAGCTTGCCATTTGGTCTCGCGTTGGCGGTAAAAAAGCACTGACTCACCAGAACTCTGTCTGTCTGACTCTGCTGTTCGGGCTAAAGGTTCCGGTCCTGAATGACTTGTTGTCTTTTAGGGCGTCGACGAGGGTCCGGAAGGTCTGAGGCTCATTTCGGACATCATCCGAGAGAAGCTGGAGATCGAGGTCAGCGTCCTGATGGGCGCCAACATCGCCAACGAGGTGGCGGACGAGAAGTTCTGCGAAACCACCATCGGTAAGAAGCTTTCAGCCTCGTTGGTGTTTTTGTGGTCAACACAGTCTGTTTCATGAATCTGACTCAGGTTGACTTTTTTTTTTTCTTCTTCTCTGGACTAAAGGGGCGAGAAATGAGGCAAACGGCCTCATGTTCAAGGAGCTCCTGCAGACTCCCAATTTTCGGATCACGGTTGTGCAGGAGAGTGATACAGTGGAGCTGTGTGGAGCCTTAAAGGTACGCTGCAGCCTGGGGGAGCACGGCAGGGCAAACCAGTGGAGGGGGGGACGATCTGACCCGAGGGGGACAGGAGACAAGTCCTGAAGGACGACCCAAGACAGAAATCGGTCCAACAACCGATCTGAGGCTCAAAGCAGCGGATCTGACCAAGAGTCAGAACTTTGATCAGGACAATGTTCAAGAACTGCAGGGACAGAGAGAGAGACAGAGAGGGAGACAGGGACAGAGAGAGAGACAGGGACAGAGAGAGACAGGGACAGAGAGAGAGAGGGAGAGGGAAAGACAGAGAGGGACAAAGATGGAGAGCGGGACAGACAGAGCGAGGGACAGAGGAAGGGACAGAGACATGAACAAAGAGAAGGACTGAGACAAGGGCAGAGCTCGAGAGAGAGACATGGACAGAGACAGAGAGGGACAGCAACAGAGGCATGGACAGAGAGAGGGACAGAGATGGACAGAGAGACCGGGATAGAGACAGAGAGAGGGACCAAGACAGGGACAGAGCTAGCGAGAGGGACAGAGACATGGACAAAGACATAGTGAGGGACAGAGGCAGAGACTTGGGCAAAGAGAGGGACAGAGAGAGACAGAGAGAGGGACAGAGACAAGGACAGAATTAGCAGAAATGACAGCTAAAAGTCACAAGATCAGCAGCTAAAAGCTAAAAGTAGCTCTAAGACCAAACAGAGCCAGTGGATGAAACAACTTTCAGAGAACAATGGGACATACCTGGCGCACGTGATACCTATAGCACTAATACCTATAGCACTAATACCTATATCTCTAATACCTATAGCTCTAATACCTATTGCACTAATACCTATAGCTCTAATACCTAT